CTTGTTTTCCAGAGGGACGCTCCATGCAATCAGGTTCCTTGCTGTACGTCCCTCTTCTGCAACTATCTTCCTCACTTTGTCATGGCTGTTGGAGCGCTGGAAAGAAGCCTGAAAACAAGAAATGCAGGAATGGAAAATACGTACATATGTGTGTACATATATGTGTATATATATATATATAGTTTTGACACATGGGCATTTTATCCAACATATAGTTAAACCCAAGTGGGTTCACAGTTAATATATTTCTACCAGCTATTCAGAACACATATACATTTTCACAACCATTTATCTACATGGCAGGCAAAGTGATGGGCCAGCATGACACAGGAGTTTCTACCCAGTCCTCAGAACAGGTATGCCTGCACCACACTTATTTTAACTTTCATTTAATTGAGGTCTGTCCAGCAAGAGCATCACATTAGACTTTAAAATGTTTGACAGTCTTTCAGTTAATTAGAACTAAGGACAAAAGCTATGTGAGACTAAAATGCACGTGCTGAGTAGCTGAGAAGAACCTGAAGAACAGTCACCTCCACTGGTACAGATGTTTTTCATGAGAGTAGCATAGGGTGGTGACTATGCTGAAAAACAGTGAGAATTTCCCTTATCAAAATAGCATTATTGTGCTCTTTGTATATGTTGTAGTTCCATGAAAATAAATAGGAGGCATTACTTTCACCTACATATATTTAAAAAACAAACACTTCTGTTTCATTGAGAAGGCAAGAAGCTAGAAAGCACATCCTGGCAACTACAGCCAGTTCTTACTAGAAAGCTGCAGCTGTTCACAGACAACATGAGAAGCACTGAGGATGAACTTTTTTCACCTAGGAAATACAGAATTACAGAATCACAGAATTGCCAGGGTTGGAAGGGACCTCAAGGATCATGAATCTCCAACCCCCCTGCCACAGCCAGGGCTACCAATCATCCCACCTAATGCTAGACCAGGCTGCCCAGGGCCCCATCCAATCTGGCCTTGAACACCTCTTGCACTGACAAAAGATAACATCACCAGATCTTAGAAACCAAACATATTAAGAAATAGATGTATCAGCTGACAGACATCAACGAGATGCAGTCGTTCCTCTTCTAAACTGACTGAAGTTATTCCTCAGAAAGTAATGTGAAACAAAGCCAAGTTACAGTAATGCAAAGTCTATATACAATGGTGGTGCAAAAACACTTCAACACTGACAAACATAACCTCAAATAAGTTATGTAGATGTAAACATGCCTTTAGCACCGATACGCTGATTTTCTGTAGCAACAGTCAGAAGACACGTTTTTCCTCTTTTCACCCTTGCCATCAAGCCTGCAACCTTTGTGTTGTGCTACTAGCACATCTTCAGAAAGAAAATACAGTGAAAATGAGAACAGCAGAGGAGTGGCTGTAATTCCTCAGGGTGGTAGGAAATGCAGTAGAAACAACAAGCTGCGATTACTTGAATGCTTGTATCATAACTGTGAACCAAAGTTTCTCTCATTTGGGTGTCCTCGAATGCTTGTTTCAAAGCCACAGTGTGCCATCTAGTGCTCCACTGACCACCTGGAGACCACACCATGCGATACACTGAGAGCAAACAACCAAAACCACAGCAGAACTATGGGAGAGAGCTGTCTAAAAACATGATTATTTAAAAACAAAATCAAAACACCCAAGTAATGCAGTTTGATACAGAGAAATCAACAGGATCTATACTAAACTGGTTGTAGTCTATTCTTATTCAATATAATAGCTCATTCTCTTTAGAAAATTTTACTGATTGTCCATTGCTGTTGAATAAAGTTTGTTTTTTCTCTCCTTGTTGCTTAACAATGAAACACGTCCTGGACCTAAGAGTTAAAGACTCACAAATCTCACATAATTAATTGTTTTAAAATCAACTTAAACTGCTGCATAAACCAGTGATGCAAATGCTTATGGAACCTTCACAAGTGAGTTAAATGGTTTTGATTTATCTGAACTGTCTCTGAAATGTGGCTGCATTTTGTATTCACGTATCCTCAAACCGTAGCAACCTTATCTAGAAGCAGATCTCATCTTTCACAACTTGCTGTCAAAAAGGGATAAGTAGACAAATCTTTAATGGATTCTCAATCCAGATAACATTCACTCTGCACAATCCATGCAACACTGAACCACAGCTTTCCTACAACGTGAGCCTGCTCATTCCTGCCATACACAGAGGACTTTGAAAACCCATTTGAATTCTTTTTCCCATTTTTTTTTTTTTTATGCTGGCATTCCACTTCATTTCATCCTCCATTGGCCCTCTCATTTTCCAAGCTGACCACCCTTCAGTCTTCTTTCTCAGATTTTCCACACCGCAGATTACATATTCACTGAATCTGAGCGTTGAGGGGTTTCTCTTCAAGATTGTCTTCAACTGGTTCCTATCTTTCTTTGAGATACAGTGCCCAAGAGCAGATACAAACACTTCAAAGAAGTCATTTTACATGCTAATTAATATTATTTGTATCTTACAGATGATGCTAATCCCATTTAAACATCTCAAAATGACAAATGGGTTTTACTTCCTTGCAATATGCTATCTTTTCACTATTTGGGATAGAATCATAACAAATATGTCATAACATCACACAGAAATCACCACTCTTTCCATAGGCAGAGAACAGCAGACTTCCACAGGCCTAATCCAATCCACAAATGTCTGCACCCAAAAGCAGACATACCCAGAATTTCTTGTGTTGCACCCAGGACCCTCCGTAATATCACGGCTGTTCTTTACACTTATTTCTGCAGACCAGACCAAAACAATCCTGCACTAACATACACTGGGACAATTTCCAAATAAAAGTTAGGAACTTTGGAACTTGCAGTTTTGTTTTCACTGAAATAGAATTTGGTCTGAACAGCAGTTTTCCCTTAAAAGTTCTAATGAAAAGAAAACATTCATGATTGCAATACTTCATTGTACAGCAGTCCTTTAAGGCAGGTATCAAAACCCATGATTTCACAGTACAAAGGTTTTTGCATCTCTTCTGTTTCAAGGTTTTCTGCCCCACTGCTCACATCACAGTCCATGACTAACAAGCTCACATGTATGGGGCAAGTGTGAGAGGGAGGATGGTATGCATGAAAATCAGCAGGAAGTCCTAATTTTGGAACACTCCAGGGGTGCCAGAGGACTCGAGAGTATTTTTTAACAGGATTCATTTCTTTATTCCATGTACAGTGTAGAACACTCACGGGATGTGTAAAGAAGTAGCAAGGGGAAAGCAGAGCTTATTTCAGCATTTTCAAGAATTCACATAACGGTGTTGACAGAATCAGTTTCTAGAATCAGTAACTTCAGAGAAGGTACAAATGAATACTCATTAACGAATCCCAACGCAAAAAAGTATTTTTCTTGCAGCAGGAAAATCTTCAGTACAGTGTTACAGTATCTGAACAACTTACCATCACGTTATAGCCTTCTTCTGCATCGGCAGGCTCATTTATTGCATTTTTGGACGACCCCATTGAGCTTTCATGCCTGTGTCAAAACAGACACAGTTAGTTTTAGCTTCCTAGCAACATTTATGTCAAGGACATCTGATGAACGTGGTAAGGTTTTCAGAGTTATATTTGTAAAGTGCTTATGTGGCTCCATATTAAAAGCAGCTCAAGAAGAAAATCAAGAGGCTGACCCTTTAGAAAAAAAAAAAAACAACCTCGAAGTAGAAGAGACCCTTAAAGTCCATCAGTGCAACCCCTGCAATGCACAGGGGGACACACACAGCACATCAGAGCCCCCAGCCTGACCTTGATGTCTGCAAGGACTGGGCACCGCCGCCTCTCCAGGCAGCCCTTGGTGTACAAAACTTCTTCCTTACATCCAATCTGAATCACCCCTCTTCTAATTTGAAACCATTTCCCCTTGTGCTGTCACAACACACCCTGCTGGTGTCCGTATCCTTCCTTCTTACAGCCCAGCCCCTTTAGGCACTGAAGGCTGCTCTCAGCTCTCCTCACAGCCTTCTCCCCTGGGTGCTGCACAGCTCAGCTCTCAGCCTGTCCTCGCAGGGAGGTGCTCCAGTGATGAGTGTACAACGAGCAGAGTTAACCCAAAGGAGCACATTTTGACACATATGAAAGCAGTACGAAGCATACTGCTCCAGAACAGGGGAAGGCACCAAGAGCAACGTTTCTTAAGTCTGTACCGGGCAAACCTGTCAAAACGAATCAGAGGTGCTGAAAATCTCCGCGGGATAATTAGTTAGGTCATTAAAAAAAAAAAAAAAAGGGGGTTGTGCAGGAGACAGCTATGATAAAATACATGTTTTTAATCAAGTGCTGGACTGGGGACCGGCAGCCAAAAGTGGGTGTTAAATATTTATAGGTTCACCGAAACCTTTCAGCATTACTGCAGCCACGCAGGAGTAAAACGAAACGCGTGCTTTCAGGGCCGGCAGCGCTCAGAGCCGCCTCACACACAGCCGGGCGCACAGCGCTGGGGAGGGGGCGGCGGCGCGGAGCCTCGCAGCTCGGCCGGAACGCGGCACGGGCTGAGTGACACCCGGCTTCACGGTTGCCACTGGCAACCAAGCTCCCGGCCCCGCTCGGCACACAGCCGCCGGGCCAGGCCGCGGGCCCCGCTGGGCGGCCAGGAGCAGCGCCCGGGGCCCGGCGCCGCGGGGCGTGAGGGGAGGGCTGGCCCGCCGCCATCTTGCCCCGCCGCCGCGCCCCGCGCCGCCCGCCGCCTCCGCCGCGCCCCTCCCCCCGCGCCGAGGGGGCACTCACGCTCTCCGTCGCGCCGCTCCGTCCCGCCCGCGCGCGTCCCGCCGCGGTGATGTCATCGCATCCCGCCGCCTGCGCCCGTCCGCCCGCCGCCGCGCGCCGCGCCCTCCCCCCCCTCCCCCCCTTCGCAGCCGGCAGCCGCGCATGCGCCGCTCGCACCGGTGAAGGCATTGCCCTCACCTTGCCCACCCGCGGCGCGCTGCGGCCGCCGCCCGTGCAGCACCTGCCGCTCCGCCTGCCGCCGGGGGGCGCTGCCGAGCCCTGAGGCGCGTTGCGTGGCGCGGCGCCCCGTTCCTCGCGGGGAAAGGCGGGGCGGCTCCGTGCCGCCTCGGAACGGGAGCGGGGAGCGTTCCTCGTCCTTCGGGCACCGACAGCTGGGCGCCAGGGGTAGAAAAATAGGTCTGCCGCGTCTGCAGAGCCCGGAATGCCGCAGGGCGATCTGTGCCGGGGCTTGTGACAGAAACACACTCTTCTCCCGGGGAGAAGCGTCAAACCCGTCGGCAGCCCCAGGCAATTAACTGCTATCGGTGATTAATCGGACCTGCGCGGGCGCATTGCCGGGCACGTTTTCAGCTCTCCCGAGCGGCAGACGAAGCCCCGCTCGTTTTGCAGCCCGTGTTCCCCCCACGTGCTCCGTTCAGCCGTACCGCCCGCTCACACAGCACCGTTCCGCAGCGCTGTTCGGGAGCCCCGTCCCGCACGGCACAGCTCTGCTGCAGCGAGACGCTCCATTCCAGCCACGGACGGCTGGAATCCCCCAGACTGCCGGCACGGCACGACGGGAGCGCCGGACACGAGGGGGAGCACGCGGTCCTCCCGGCCCGAGCCGCGCGCAGGCGGCGTTGCGGACCCCCGCCGCGCCCCTTTCCCATTCCCTTTTCCTTTCCCTTTCCCTTTCCCCGCCCCTCGGCGCGCTCCCCTCCTCGGCGGCGCGATGCGGCGGCGGCCGCTGCTGGCGCTGGGCCTGGCCGCGGTCCTGGCGACGCTGCGCGCGGCGTCCGGGCAGCACCGAGCCGATTACGACCGGGAGGCGTTGCTCGGAGGGCAGGTGAGCGGCGGGGCCGGGGGGTCGGGGGTCGAACCGAGCGATTCGGGAGGCGGTTTTGATGCTCGGTTCCTCTCCCGCAGGAGGAGGCGGAGGAGTACGCGCGGCTCAGCCCGGAAGAGCAGCAGCGGCGGCTGAAGGCCATCGTGCGGAGGATCGACGCGGATAACGACGGCCTGCTCAGCAAGGGTAACGGCGGGGCGAGCGGGCGGGTCCGGGCTTTGTGCGCATCCCGGGGCCTGCGAGCGGCGGCTCCTCCGGGGACCTTCCGCTAAAAAAAACATCCCGAGAGAAACGGCGTGCCGGAACGTGCCGCAAATGGCAGAACGTGTGGCTTTTGTGCACGGCACGACTCCGCACCGAGAGTCGGATCCGAGCCCAGAGCCGCGCTGTGACACCGCGGTGACACGGGGCGGCAAACCGCCTTGCTGGGGGGAGAAGCTGTGGCGTGAGACGAGGGCAGCATCGCTCCGATGCCTTCCGAAAGGTGACCTGCAGCTGCTGGTCTCCGGGCACGCACAGCAGGAAGGGCTTTGATACTGTGCAGTGTATCAGTGCCATCGGTGCGCTGCCCTGATAAAACGCATGGCATCTGGTGCTGAGTCTGGAAGGTGCTGAGACTGGAAGGAGAGGTCCTTGAGAGCAGCCCTGTGGAGAAGGACCTGGGGGTCTTGGTAGACGAAAAACTTAACATGAGCCAGCAGTGTGCCCTTGCGGCTCGGAAGGCAAATGGGATCCTGGGCTCCATCAAAAGAGGGGTGGCCAGCAGGGACAGGGAGGTGATTGTTCCCCTCTACTCTGCTCTTGTGAGGCCCCATCTGGAATACTGCGTCCAGATGTGGAGCCCCCAGTACAAGAAAGACAGGGAGCTGTTGGAGAGGGTCCAGAGGAGGGCCACGAAGATGA